ACCCCCCACCGCCCACCCTCCTGACCCCCTCACCCATGCGGGTCCTCCCCGCTGGGACCCCCGGCTACTCGGTGACGAGAAGAGCTGGAAACGAGAGCCAGCTGGAGCGTGCTGAGGACCAAGGCTGGTGTGGTCCCCTTATAACCTGCCTGGACCCTCCATTCAGGTCGGTAATTGGGGGCGGGGGTCCCGCGGGGCCACTCCGTCCTGTGGGCTCTGCGCCCACCTTACTTTCTAACCCGCACCTCAAGCTTGCAGCCAGGGGTGGAAAGATGTCGTGGGTGGGTGTCATCACCAAACTGGGCAGAACACAGCGTCAGCCACCCGCCCTTGCTGGCTGGGAGGTTGCCCGGAGGCCTAATAAGCCCCGCAGGGGGTTCTGAGCCACCTAGTGCTGATGGGCATGATCCTCCCCAAACTTGTGGCAAACCAGCCCTTTTCCTACAGCACACCCTTAGAAGCAGATGAAGCGAATGAGAAAGCAGGTAGGCAAAGTTTCTCAGCTGTCAGCGTTTACAGCATATTGGCAGATCCATTTAACTGATGGCTGCTGGCCATGTTCAGGATTGTGAGCACTAAAATTACTGTTGATAAATGCCCGTCCACATTTAACTGACTTATAATTAACAATCCTATACTGCAGGCTTTTTACATATTCAAGATAGATGCTTGTCCCTGCTTCTGAAAAAAGTTGGAGGTATCTTCCAGATCTCCCCAAGGAGAGATACTTTAAGTTCAGATGTGAATGGGGTCTCTGGGGCAAGATGTTGAGCCTTATTACACAGGGATAAATTTGGCTCATATTTAACCTTTAAATCCTAAATCTAGCACTTACTCCCTTCGATATTCCAATAATCCTTTTCTGTATGGGCATCTTACTAATGGCTTCTGGACATTTGTTATAATGACTGCTGGACAGTATTCAACTGGTGGTCACTGGTTATTATTCAGTTGATAGGTATATATAGGTGATGGGGTACTTTGGTCCTCTTTGTCGTCCCCAGAAGGTAAATACTCATGAGTTTGAAAGAGCCAGGTGCCAAGAAGAGACACTTGGCTGTAATTCTTGCTACTTGCCGTGGTGAGAGAAGACTCGCTTTACCCGAGAGGCAGGGACCAGGCAGTCCTGGCTTTGAGCTCTGGCCCCACCACTTCCTTGGTGTCTTCCAGCTAGCCCTATCACTTCTCTGAGCCTCCACTGCCTCATCCACAAAATGGGCAGTACAGATATTTGCCGCACCAAGTTGGAAGGGATAAAGAGATGTGGGGATTCTACTGAAATTCTGTTTCCTTTTTTAACTAATTCATCCCAAAGTCCCTTAAGGTAGAGAATCTAGCTGATCTTCCCCCACCCCCCACCCCTGGGAGGCCAGAAGGAAACTTCACTGGCCCCATGCCCAGGCTGAGTACCCTCTGTGTGCTGGGTACTGCCTCAGTCAACCTAAGGGCCTTCTGAGCATGTCCCCAGTTACCCCCATTTCACAGATGAAGAAATCGAGGCACCTGAGGGACCTCCCCAAGGCCCACGGGTCTTATTCCGCTACATCAGCTCTCCTGCCTCTGCCTAGAGAGGTTCTCTGTGAGACTCCGAGCTCATGAGGAATTGCCTTGCTGTGTGCTCAGCGTGTCTGAGACAAGGGCTGTTCATCCAGCCCTCAGCCAGGGGCAGGATGTCCCCAAGAAGCGGGGCTGGGCTGGTTTGCCCCGAAGGTGGTTCTTCTGTGAGGATCTCACCTCCGTGGCCACTTCGAACCCACAGCCGGGGTTCTCGAGTGCTGGGTGGGGAGGCCAGACCCTGTGTTCTGCCGCGGGCGGGGGGGGCATCTCCCTGGGGAAGTCACAGTCCTCCTCCCTTTCAGACCCCGATTTTCAGCCCCACACATTCCATGTCTTTTTATTTTGTTTTGTTTTGTTTTTGTTTTTTCCTTTTTGCTTTTGGGTGTTTTGTTTCGGAGGGGATTTTTGTTTGATTGTGGTTTTTTTTTTTTGGATTTTTCCTTTTCTTTTTTTGTCCGCTTTGTTTTTTCATTTGTTCCTCCTGGTTTGGTTTTGGACGTCGATGCCGTTTTCTGTCCTTGATTAATTAGCTCCCCCACGCTCATCCCCCATCGTGTTCTGTTTCCATGACAACGCAGCGTCGGGCATCCCACTCGTGCCTCGCTGTGGATGCCGGCGGCTGGCCTGGACCGCGTCCGCTGGCTGGCCAGACCCCATTCTCCCCCGACTCCCCCCACCCTCCACCTAGCCCTGCCAGAAAGCCACCCCCCATCCCAGTGCCCTGCCCCGCCCCTTACCCCCAGTCTGTCTGCATGGCCCCTCTGTCTCCCCCCGCCCGCACCCCCACTCCTCCCCTCCAGTGATACCTTCCACTTCCTCCATCCCGTCTCCAACGTGACACTGGACTTTTCGTGGGGCTTCCTTTTCCGAAGGGCTGCCGCTTCTTTGCCCTGTCCCCCCACCCCCATGGAGCCGCCCCCCTCCTCTTTGCCTCTAGCCATCTGGATTCAGGGAGCAAGGGTTGGGATTTCCAGCTTAGAAGCCAGGCTGGAAGAGCGGGGTTCCCGGGCTTGCTTCCCTTTTTCCCCTGGAGCCCCCTCCTCTGTAAGGCAAGCCAGACCCCGACAGCCACCCCACCACCACCAATAGTGTGTGGAATCAAAGGCAGGTCGGGGTGCCAAAAGTCATTTTGTGGCCCTCTTGAGCCTTGTTGAATCTCCAGTCTGTCATCTCTGTAGTTTGAGACAAGACTCCCTGACCCGTCCAAAGCTGGGGACCCACGAGGCCCCAAGGTTTTAGCCAGGGACACCCTCTTTCTGGCTCGAGGGATCCACTAGGTCATCCCAGGTCCCGCCCGCTGCAGTTAAACATCTCCTGTGGGGCAGCCACGCCTTTTGGAAGTTCAGGTGCCATTAGCGTCCGCCTCTCCCCCCCACCCCCGAAACCTGTCCAGCTTCCGAAAATGGAGCCCCCGAAATGCATCCTGCTGCCTTCACGGTCTGCGAGATTGGGACAGAAGGCTGCACCCGCTTCCCCGCTGAGAAACGCACAGAACATGTCCCTGTTTTCTCAACGTTCAAGCTCATTCCCTTGTTTTATTATTATTATTATTATTAATTAATATCCTATTTATGATTCTGCCAGGGCTGTGATGTGACAATGTGACGTGTCACATTGGGTCACATCCGCTAGAATTAATATGCAGCATTGAAGTGGGCCCCCTCCTCCCTCCTTCTCTGTCTCTGCCCCCCTCTCTCTGGGCCTGTCTTCCTGTTTTCTCTCTCCCGTAGCTCCTCTCTCTCTTCTGTGGCACCCACGAGCGTGCACTGAAGGCCCCTGAAACCCAGGCCTCTTCCCTTGCATTACCTCTCTCTCTCTGTCCCTCCTTCTGCCTCTCTCTTTCTCTCTCTCTCTCTTTCTCTCAACCAACCTATTTTGCATGCTGTTTGTGACTCTGAGAGCTGCATCTATCAATGGAAACTTGTCAGATCCGACAGAAGCTTTTAGAAGGGTTTCTCAACCCAAAAACCACAAAAATTTCATTAGAGTTTCTCATCTTTTCCTTGAGGGCCCCCTGGGAAGTGGGCAGGGCCCCTGAGTCACCGGAGGGGACGAGGGTCGGGGGCCGAGGTCCTGGTCCCCTCTGCCTCCTGGGGCCGGCGGATTCCGTGACCTCCCCGCTCCCCGTCCCGACTTCCCCGGAGCCACCCCCCCACATACAGCTGCAGCCAGAATCTTCCGAAGCTCCCCACTTGGGAGAGCGGGCAGAGGGGCTGCTCCCTGAAGCCACGTCTGTCAGCAAAGATGAGAAACAGCTGATAAATTTTTGTGTTTGTAACTGTGCTGTGACCAGCCACTCTGGTCTCTTGAAACCCTGTTGCTACGAAATAATGCTTCATGTCTCTTTTTATTATATATCAATATATCTCTCTCTATATTGTTTGTGAAGTACCTTCCTTTGAAGTTTTGGTTTCTTTGTGTTGGAATTTGATTTTTTAATTTGGTTTTTTTGTTTTCTTTTCATTTGGAAGAAAAAAATTTTCAGCTGGGGGGAAGAAAACAGCCCTGTTTATATTTAAATTGTTTTCCACTTTTTTTTTCCTTTTTTTCTTTCTTTCCTTCCTTTCTTTCTTTCTTTCTTCCTGCTTTTCTTTCTTTTTTCCCCTCTGCATC